AAAACAACGGATTCGTTTGAAACCTACTAATAAAATCAGGCACCAAAGTTCTATACGTTGGCACATTTAATAACTACAGTTACTCTAGTGCTGGGGTTGCGTGCTTTGGCACTGTGATTGTGGGGATGGATTCTTTTCATTGATATTCTGATTGCTCTATCTACAGCAAGGGCTGGGGTTGGTGTCTAAACGATGCACCAACACCACATCCTGAACTCCAGGGCCCCAAGGTATTACCTGGTGTGCTATACGATACTGATTATCAGTGTAAGATACAATACGGAATGAATTCATCACACTGTGTGGGTGTAACGGTAAGTAAAAGCCTCGCTTCTTCCGCTATATGCCACCCTGCATAAACTTAATGCTCTTGAAAGACAGCCTGGCTTGCAGCAAAAAAAAGGAGATACGTATTTACAAGTGTAAGTATTCTTACCTCATATTTTTTTCTTTGGCAGGATCTTTGTAGTACCTTATGGTGTAAAGTTGGTCATTCTTGTCAGTCCAAACTAGAACCTGCTGCTGATGGTACCGAATGCGGTRAAGACCAGGTAAGGAATATTGGACCTATTAAGAAGAGAAAATTATGCATGTTTTGGAGTAAAATCTTTTTTGTGTTATAGATTTGTTACAATGGTGAATGCATCAAGAAAGCAGATCTGCCTAAAAGTGTTGATGGTGGTTGGGGCTCGTGGAGCAACTGGAGCGAGTGTTCACGATCATGTGGGGGTGGAGTGTCCTTCTCACAGAGACAGTGTGACAGCCCCAGGTAAGGAAAAGCCATCAGTATCCATGCTGGTAACAGCAGGCAGTATCGCCGAACGAAAGCAAAACGATRCATACACCTATTTGAACAAACGTTCAGTCATTGCCAAAGGCGATAGGCGATAGGCAAAAAGTGATAGGAGATAGGCCATTCCAAGATCAAGAATAGCTGAAATGACTTGTGTTTCTGCTCCTTATTCTCGTCAAGAACATGGACCTTAGTGTTAAGACTGATTCAATGTTGTTTGTATTCGACGAAACCATTTCCATGTCGGAATGGTTTCAATGTTTTTTGAAATAATGGTGGGGATGGGGGGGACGTGCACCCTGTGCTCCCCCCTATTTACGGCCCTGTATGCGAGTCATATATGGTTTGCGTGGGTATAAGAAAATGAGTATGATTTAGAGTCATTGTAAGTCGTCCGACTTTTTATTTTTGAACAGACCTATAGCAAACGGAAAGTACTGCATTGGGAAATGGAAGAAATACAAGATGTGTAATGTCCAGGTAAACAAGGGCTGTGCATCGGTTCGTACACTGGTAATGATAATAATCAAATACCAGTGGCATGGACGATTCGCTAAGGAAAAATTACCTATATGACTTTGAAATGGATTGTCTTTTTAAATCTGAATTTGCCAGGATTTGATTATCTTTGCCAATTATGCATCTTTGCAACTCTTTTAACGTACCTCTAATCTGTTTTAATCTTTCTAGGAATGCGAGAAGGGAGCAAAAGATTTCCGAGATGAGCAGTGCTCCAAATACAACGACAAATCATACCAAGATAGAAAATATCAATGGAAAGCCTTCGCTGTTCATGGTATGGAGGATTTGCTTATCTTTTAACTAAGTAGTATTGCTATGCAGTGTCGGAACTAGGTTTTGAAGCAAGAGGAAGGGGGGAGGGGTAGGGTTGGGCATTCAATATTGTAATGAGAGATAATTTCATCCCTCTTGGATACAACTGCACTATTTTATTTATTTATTTTTAATTTAACCATTTTTACTATACATGTGGGATAATTTTATCGTAGCAATTGAATAAGATTAAAGCTTGCCTCAACATTTTGTCCATAAATGTCCTCAGATTCTTAAGGGGGGAGGGAGATTTAAGTTGTAAAATTGAAATGACTAAAAACATAATTCAAAAATAAGAATTTAAAACCTAATTCATTGAGGAATTATCATAGGTAAAGTGTTACCTTCGTCATCTTCTTTAGATCGTCCTTGTGAATTACACTGTTCTCCTAAAGGAAATTATGGATTGTATATCAGGAAAAAATTTTCTGATAAAGTCATTGATGGTACGAAATGCTATCCCGATAAAAGACAAGTCTGCATCGATGGCAGGTGTGAAGTAAGTAAAAGACAACGATTTGCAGAACAAAAATGTCATTTATACTTGTACTTCCCCACCCACACAACCCACCCTTGATCAAAATCCTGTCATGTAGATAAATGATCATAGTAGTGTCTTGTTCTATCTCCAGTACTCCCCCACCCACCCCACCCTTGATCAGGCCCCCATCATGTAGATGATTGATCATAGTGTCTTGATCTATCTCCAGTACTCCCCCACCCACCCCACCCTTGATCAGGCCCCCATCATGTAGATGATTGATCATAGTGTCTTGATCTATTTCCAGTACGTAGGATGTGATAACGTTCTTCACTCTAATGCTATGGAAGATCGATGCGGTGTTTGTCGTGGAGATGGCTCGACATGTGAGACGATTAGCTCGGTATTCAACCAGACAACGGGCACAGGTAACGACCATCAGTTCTCTTTGGAACATATTTTTTACCAATATATTTCCTTTATTTATTATAGTGATTCGTCTTCTCATACCAATATCCATACAAAGATTTTTTAAATTTTATTTGACAATATTTTTCCGCTATGTTTTTTCCAAGAGCCGATAAATGGCTCATTAATCCAGATTACCCTAGTAATAGCAAAGGTTTGTCAGTCTTTAGTTCATATTGCTCATGTTCTCGCCAGGTTTTTCTCTGTATAGTCTCCTTGTATGGGACGTCAAAGCAGCTCAATTTGGAAGATATAAAACAAAATAGTTTCAATCTAATAATAATTGGAAATCTATTGTTATTTCCTCCAAATTGAGCTGCATTTCGACAGATTGCAAGGGGTCTATTTACGGGTTTTTTGTGCCCTCTTAAAGTCTTCGAAAAACTGGTTTTACGAATTTCATAGTTCCCACATTATCAATTTACACTAAAGAATACAACAACACTGTGTAACATAATTTTTCGGAAATAAGTCACTGGAAATAATACTTGAATTTCTCAACTATCATGTGTTGGTTAAGGAGAAAGATCTTTTTTTAAAATTGTTTTTATTCATTGATAACCAGGTTACGTGGAGACCAAAATCATCCCTGAAGGTGCGCGTAATATCAGAGTAGAGGAAGTTGCTGGAGCTCATAATTACTTAGCTTTAAGGTCGTCTACAGGGAAATACTACCTGAATGGTCACTGGTATATACAGTGGAGTGGGGAATACAAGGCAGCAGGGACTGTTGTACGATATACAAGAAAACACAACAAAGAAACATTTGTAGCTGATGGTCCTACTAACAGTGATCTGCATATTATGGTATGATGCTTGCGCATGCGTGCAATTCAGCTCATTTTCCCCCAAACGTCAAGAAAACCTTTCGAAGACAAATATAACTTTTTGGTAATAATATAGTCTATTATTTTTTTCCGGTCCGGTATCCTAAAAAATCGTGCGTTCTGATTGGCTGTTTGAGCGAGCGGTATTTTGTCAGTATCTGCCCGCGGTCGCGGTCCGGTATCCTTGGCCGCTAAACAACAAAACAAGTATTGCAATTTGTTGTTTTTACTGGCAATATTTATTCACTTATTTTCTCTACAAAACACGCTGTTTTACAGTCACGTTTATCTCAGTAAGATGTCTGATGACGAGCATAGTGATAGCGAATTCTATTATCCTTTGGACTACAAAAACAATGAAAACGAAAGCGAGAAAACCAGAGAAAAGCAAAGTTTTTCAGTGGACGACGTCCAAAGTTTCATACAGACTCAGCGTCCAGAAAATACTATTAAGAAAACTCAGTATGACCTAAATGTGTGGCGAAGA